ATAAATTCATGATAAACAGAACATCAATTAAAGAAGATTGGTTAAATTTCGAATATATACAATCACACAAATGAAAATAAGCTTTCTGAAAACACTTAGTTTAGTTGAATAATGTACTTGTAATCATTGTAAGAGTTAGAAATATTTCCTAACCTCTTGTCATTGTTAAGTTGCTCCTGAAGATATGTACAAAAGTTGTGAGATTCATAGACGTGTAAATGTCAGGTAATTTACCTCAAATAATTTTCGAAAATATTTTACACAAAACAAATTAGGCACAATGATGGATTGTTATTATTACTAACATTATGTAACTCACTTTGTTTACCAATAATATTTGCAATTTCAAGTGGTTACTTGTACTATGTTCTTCTCTAAAATGATAAAGTTGATACAGAAATGAATAAATACAGAGATCAGAATATAAAGTCCATTCTTTACAAATGAAATTAGACTGTTTCATTGTTTTTGAAAAAATATTTATAATAATTGTGTTCATCTTTGCAAAGTCATGAAGCATAATAACTTTTAGATACCGATTTTTTTTGAATTTTTTCAATGGACATTCTCGGTAATTTTATTGATGTTGTCGAAGTATGTTTATAGTTTAACATCATGGAGTGATTTATTTCGTCAAACGTTGGAATCCAAGTTGCAACAGACATTTCGTTTCCACAGTGAGACTCCTCATCAGTGTAAATATGAGAAAAACTTTGAATCGACATCAGAACCTTCATATCTAGCGGTGTAAAATATTATCCTTAGAAAAAATGTATAAAGCTTGCTTAATCCTGTTAAATAATAAAATCCAAACTCGTTGAAATTAGATATTATTATATACAGGTTAAGAATAAGGATGATTAAGATTCAGATACACTAGAAGGAAATCGAAACAGGCAACAAACAAGTAATTCAACAATTATGTTCAAATCCTTTTATTTGTGTCATGATATCATGAATAAAGTATAACATAACGACCATCACAACCGTCATACCTTGAGGTGTAAGAAAAATATTACTAAGGAAAATGTGTCAGGGTTTTGCAATTTCATAAATTGAATACAAATAAACATGTAAATCACTGTATTGCATTTCGGTAGTTTACAGGTCGTGTGTTAGGCTCAACACCCGTGGACCCTAGGTTCGTAATACCTCTCCTAAAGATGCAAAATATAGAAATTGAACTTTTCTTCCGGTTAAGCAGTACTGTTGGAAATACTTCCTGATACAGATGGTAATGTGACACCTCTACAGTTTTCACAACTTCTGAGATCCTCTTCCTTTAGTATATTGATGAGGTATTTTTCTTTTCAGTCGGTCAGTTGTTACGTCTCCTCAATTATTTTACATCTGAAAGCGAGGACCAACTTTGTAGTTGCTTCTATTTCTGACCGTTGATTTTAG